AACCCTAAGAATTTGGTAATCACCAAAAATCAACCTCACATAAAACAATAACCTTATCATATTTCCAAATCCCTTAGTTACCTCAACATACTTGGATCTTATACTCTCATACCATTGTAGGGTTTTCAATACAATAAATGTCATAATCACCAATCCTATAATAGTCACCAAATAACCTTATATCTCATTTTCCATCAAGATATTTAAATATAATATCAAAACCTTTTATCATAAATACCAATGACCTTCAAGATAGCCAAAACTTATGCCTCATAAATAAAACTCAATGCCTTAACGATTCATACCTAACATCCTTTACTTACCAAACATAAAACACCATCTGTTTCCTAAAATAGTTCATAACGACATGGTAGATAGCTAAAAAAAAAGGAAACACCAATGGTAAAAAAAAATAACCACCAAGTTGTATATGGCGATTGTTGGTGGTGGTGGCTACACAGTCACTCCATGAAAATAACACTCATTTCAATCAAAATGACCATAGCATTCAACTGTAAGATCCTAACATTCAATTGCAAACCTAACTTCCAATTCCAAAATCATGTTATAAAATTAACATCGAATTTGATTTAATTAANTAACCACCAAGTTGTATATGGCGATTATTGGTGGTGGTGGCTACACAGTCACTCCATGAAAATAACACTCATTTCAATCAAAATGACCATAGCATTCAACTGTAAGACCCTAACATTCAATTGCAAATCTAACTTCCAATTCCAAAATCATGTTATAAAATTAACATCGAATTTGATTTAATTAACAAACAAATTTCATACAATTTAAAAACCCATTTCACACAATTAACCTCATACAATCAACAACTCATTTCATATAATCAACATCCCATTTCATACAATAATAAACCCCAACATCCAATTTAGAAACTATAACATTCATTTAATCAAAATACGACTAACAACTATACCATTCAATAATAACTCTACAATCCCAANCCATTTCATATAATCAACATCCCATTTCATACAATAATAAACCCCAACATCCAATTTAGAAACTATAACATTTATTTAATCAAAATACGACTAACAACTATACCATTCAATAATAACTCTACAATCCCAATTTGAAAATCCTATTCTTAAAAATATAACATTCAAAAACACACTAATCCTATGAAAAATCCCAATTTGAAACATAATCTTAATCTAAATAACACTAAGATACATCAAATCAAGACCCTATAAACTTAATTTGAAAGACAACCAAATTTGAAAACAAATTAGCCTACAAAGTTCACAAAATGAACACTCAATAATCATCAATTCAACATTCCTTCCATGCAATTAACAATACCGCTAACATCCAAAAAACACTACAAATCTTATTGAATGAGCACACAATCTTATTATAAATAACTTTACATTCATCAAATCAAGACCCTATCAAAATCTATTTCATACTAATTGACATACTATCTCTAAAATTATGGAAGTAAAATAAATTAACACACAATCTTAATCTAAATAATCCTAACATTCATCAAACCAAGACACCATAAACCAATTTTTTCGAAGTTTCTACTAATTTACCATGGGGGCAGCCTACAAACACATTCTATTAGATTCTAGAATCACATTAGGATCATGCTTTGAATCAAAACACACAACAAAAATATCAAACCACACAACAAAAATATAAAATTTTAAAAATGTTATTACTAGGACCATCAACAATATCTCAATTTACAATTGTTCAAAAAAATTGATATCTCACTAAACAATACTATGCAGATTGATATCTCCATTCTCTATGCTACACGGGTTTTAGTTAGCAAAGTGCCTTTAAGCACGGTGGGGAGATGGTGATAATGGTGGTGGTCGCTCGTGCAGAGAAAACGGTGATGGGTCTCTAGAGAGAGAGAGAGAATAGGCAAAGTGAGTGGAGGGAAGAGGAGGGTTGGGAAAACAGAGGGTTAGGAGAGGGAGCGTTCATAGAGGCGACCGAATAAAGGGGAGGGCTTGGGTTTGGGGGGATTTTGGGGCTTGTGTGTGCATGTAGCATAGAGAGGGGAACAAANAAGGGAAGAGGATGGTGGGGAAAACAGAGGGTTAGGAGAGGGAGCGTTCATAGAGGCGACCGAATAAAGGGGAGGGCTTGGGTTTGGGGGGATTTTGGGGTTTGTGTGTGCATGTAGCATAGAGAGGGGAACAAAAGAAATACATGTCAGTTGTACTGGTGCTCGCGGTGGTGCTAGTGGTGGCGTTTGTTGTGGCATTGGGATGAGAGAGTTGAGGGAGGTAGACGAACAGCGACAGAGAGAGATGTACTTGAGATGAACCTACTACTGCTGCTGGTGGTGGTTTAGCCATGGCGGTGAGCAAGAGAGGGGGGTGCTGGTTTAACTAGGTAGATGAGTGAGAGAGAGAGAAAGAGAGAAAGGGGTCGCTAGGTTTGAATTGGTGTGTGTTTGGGTTATTTTGGGTTATGGGGTGCCGTGTGTGGGGTTAAAATGGGCGGGATGAGCTAATTGTGTGGGATGCATTATGGGCGTTTGGATTAAATTAGAAAACTTGAGATGAAATTAGGCCCATTAAGTTAAAAGTGGATTGAATCTAAGTCATTCTTGTGGTTTAACCAATTGAATTAAAAGTGGAATAAATTTTGAAGTAAAAAAGATTCAAATTACACTCTGCCTTTTTAGCATAGATGTTATGTGGTAAGTTCATTAATTGGTTTGAACCATATTTTTAGTAATTGACGATTTTTTTTTGTTACACAGTGCTTTTTGACATGGGTTTGTTGTTATTGGATAGTTGTTTTTGAAGTATGTTGATTTCAATTGGACATAAGTTTCGAATTTTCAATTTGATTTTGCCTCACATTTTTGGGTGTACATGTAAGAATGCCTGGGATTATTTTTCTGTGACTTCACATCCATAAGGCATTGATCCCAATTAGACAATAGTGTGGTGGTTGTTGTTAGCAATCTTATTGATATGTAATTTTTTGGTTGTCTCTCTTTGCTAAATAAGATGAAGTTGAAGAGAATTATTTCTCTCTTTGTACAGTGTGTTTCGTGTGTCCAGTTTGTGTGTGTTTTGTTTATTCCATGATTAGTAAATTGACCTAATCACACATGAGGAAATGTTGTTTGATGAGAATTGATGGTTGGATATAGAATGGTGATTTTGGGGGAAATAGAGTTGAATTGTGATAATTGTTTTGTATGATTGCGATTGTTTTTTGTTTTGTTTGAATTATGATGATTGTTATAATATATATAAACTAGTTATTGCCTGTGTCTGAAGGCACAGAGTAATCAAAAATAATAAACAATAAACATATTTATATTCATATTCAAAATTAAATCATAAACATAGAGGAGTGATAAATAAATTTAAGCATCCGTTATAGTGGGGATGAGAGGTAATAGGCTACAATGGTGGCGGTAGGAGACGATGTTTGTTTGTAGTAGGTGGCAATGATCGTGATGGTGGCTGCGACAGTGATAGTGGTGGTGGTGGCGGCGGTAGCGACAATAGTGGTGGTGGCGGCGGGGGCGGCAGTGGTGGTGATGGCGATGGTGGTAGGGGTAAAGGTAGTAGTGGAGTGGTTTTTAACACTAATTTTTTTTAAAGTACTTATAACAAATAATTCTTAAAAATACTTTTAAAAAATTACTCCAAACACACCCTTAAGGATCTATTTTTCTTATTAAATTTAAGGTGTTAATATTAACCGTTAGATTAACTTTAAAATAAAATTTAAAGCGATCTGAACCTCGAAAAACAAAAATCATTTTGTTTATCTTTTAAAATTTGAATTGTAAGTTACTTTATTATATATATATGTTATTTTGGTTTGTATTATATAGTAATTAAAATATGGTATTATCTTTCACTTAGGTTGGGTAATTTTTTTTTTTGTGATTGGTTATGAAATGGTTTGTGTTTGGCAATGATATATACAATGAGATATATAAGCCCTATAGATATAGGTTGAGATACTCTTAGGTTCTTATTTTAAGAGGAAATTCTGTAGGTTTTAAAAGAAAAAAATAGCAAAGATTTGATTGATTTTAATTTCTTTAATTAAAGCAAATAAAAGTTTTTTAGTTAACAAAACATCTTTAGGTGCGAATTAATTTAATCTTTTGTTACAATTACTAGTTTTCAATAGATGACAACCATCAATAGTTTTATCAGAATTTTTTCTCCAAAAAAAAAAAAAACTAACTTAAGTGTTCCACAAGTTAATATTAAATTATACTCATTCTAGCTTTTCTCACCTAAAATGCATTGAAGTTGAATCGGCCTAGCTTCTCCTTGAAGAAACCTGACGACACTTCTTACTTTTTTTTAGGTTAGTTGTACTAGAAGTCTCTATAAAGTATGAAGTTTATTTTATTTTGGTGCTCAATATTTCAATTGCATCATTTTGGTTTTTGAAATATTGAATATGTTTTTATATACTCCCTCTAATAGACAATGTCTAAATTGCTAACGATTTTTTATCATAAACTTATCACATGATACTTAAATATGAACACAAAAATAATTTGAATAACTCTTGACCAAATTTTTACTCAAATTTTGGTTAAATAATTATCTAAATTACACAATTTTGATCATTAGCTATATAAATTTTGGTCAAAAACTACCCATATTACATATTTTTTTGTCAAGAGTTACCCAAATTTTATTTAAAAGCTATCAAAATTATTTTTTGTTCATATTTAAGTATTAGGAGATAAATTTGTGATAAAAAATTATTAATAATCTGAACATTATCTTTTAAAGAATCATATGAAAATATATTAAATACTTTAGAAATTAATACATATACGATACTTAGTTATATATATACCTAAATTTTTTATTAAATTTTATATACAAAAATTATTTAGGTGGTGCTGGTTAAGATAAACTCGGTCTAACTTTTCTCACCTAAAATGCATAGAAGTTGAATCGGCCTAGCTTCCGTTAAAGAAACCAAACGACCTTTATTAGTGTTTTTTGATCTAACGGCCATTATTACTCTCTTTCTTGATACTTCACTTTCTTCAGTCTTGACTCTTGAGTGTACTTACCGACTAAACTCCTTTCCCTTTCTCCCCAAATCGTTTGAGGCATTTTGGTTCTACGTAAATTGCTCATTTGCTACTCAGTATGGCTTACATTCCTCCACACAAAAGGCATTCCAAGGACTCGGAGAAACCATCCCCGACACCCGAATCACTCGTTCCTCAATTCAAGAGAAATCTAAGGCCATTTGGGAATAAATCTCATGAGGAAAGGAAAAAAGATAAGGGTAAAATAGTATACGCGAACGATGCAATCACTAGATGGTTCGCAGTTGGATTGGCTGATCATACCCAGTTTCCTTCTGCTTTACGTCTCGAGCCACTTTCCTTGCAAGCCGTCGGGCGGAAATTCGGAGAAAAACCTCTCTCTTTAGTGCTCGACGATCAACTTCAAAAAGGTTTTTATTTATCTATGTGTTTATCTATCTATAACCATTGTACGTATATGGAATAATTTTGGTCATTGGATGATTGGCCCCTTTTCAAATTTTGTTAGTTTTAGTCGAGTCATCCTTTAGTAGAGAATCTTATACCGATCATGATCTGTGTCTGTGTTAATTTAGTGGCATGAGATTGATTTTTAAATTTTTTTAATGGTAGATAATAATGAAGGTGAAGCGTTGTTCTTGGACAGCCCGTGGGTTATTGTTACTGGAAATGTGCTGAAAGAGCTGCTTTCCTCTTTCCAACATGTGAAGGAGGAGATAGAGACTCAAAACTTTGAAGAAGTAAAGCCAACCCTGGTTGCCCGGTTTGGAAAAGTTCTATTTCATGGGTTAGTAATCTTACTTTTATGGGTTGAACGCCTCATTTATGGTGCTGATCATATTCTTGGTCTTGTTTCTGTTTGATTTAATACTTTGATTTGGAATCAGTGATTCATTTTATACGATTAGAAGTTAAGCTGAACTATGCTAATGTGTTGCTATCATTAATTTTGCAGTTAACTGCTTCATTACTTGCACATGCTTATTTCATCATGAAGATTACGAAAAACTGAAAATGGAATTCAAGAACCGGTGTATATTGGCTTCTTTGTTCTTTTTTCTTGTGCTTAAAAAACATTCTATCAACAAGGCCTAGTTCAATTGACCACCCTAAACCACCATTGAATTTCTTAAATAGGAGGTTAGGCGGTCAATCCTTGCCAAGGTTTAAATTTCTTAAATAAGGGTATCCTATGATACCCTTTATTCAGGCTTCTCTCTAGTGTATGGTCCGAACTGTCCTAGAGTGAGGAGAAGACTATGGGATATGGTCTTTGTTGTCCTAGGTGGCGTATGGGGGGGGATGATTTTAATGTGATTAGATATTTATCTGAAAAATTGAATGGCACAAGAGTGACCAGGAGTATGAGGGATTTTAATTCTTTTATTAGGGAGAAAGGACTTAAGAATCCACAGTTAGGGAATGGTATGTTCACTTGGTCAAACTTTAGGAAAAAATCTTTTTGTAATATGTTGGATAAATTCTTGTTTTTTGCAGAATGGGAGGAGTGTTTTCCCAGAGTTAGACAAGAGACTCTAGCAAGAGTGGTGTTTGATTATTGTCCTATTTTGTTTGACTCATCTCAAGTCAAGTGGTGTTCATGTCCTTTTAGACTTGAGAATATGTGGTTAGAACACCATTCCTTTAGAGGTTTGTTTAAGAAGTGGTGGGAGGAGGGGAGTTTTAAGGGATGGGAGGGTTTTAAGTTTGTGAAAAAATTGGAGTTCGTAAAACAAAAAGTGAAGAGATGAAATAACGAAGTGTTTGAGGATGTTAGAATTAAAAAAAAATCTCATTATGAATAGAATAAGAGAGATTGATAAAATTGAAGGAAATTGAGATTTAGATGAAAACTTAAGAAGAGAAAGATGGGAGTTAAGGAACAAGTTTGAGGTGGTATTGAAGAAAGAAATTAGTTTGAGATAAAAGCAAGAGTAAAGTGGATAAAGGAAAGGAATAATAATTTGAAGTTGTTTCATAGAGTTGCTAATGGAAGGAGGAAAAATAAGTTTGTTGATAAGATGGAAATAGACAATGGGTTGATTATAGAAGATGAAGGGATGATAGAAAGTAAGGGCGTGTTTGGTTATCTTCTCAAAAACAGTTTTTTGTTCTCAAAATTTCAAAAACACCAAAAACCTATTTATTTAGCATTTTTGTTCTCAAATTTTTAGGAAAAAATGAGATTTGGAGCAAAGAAACAGAAAACAAGTGTAGCTTGTTTTTAGAGTTTTCTTTGAAAATTTTGGAAACACGGAGAATAGTTTTGGGGCTTTAATGAGGTCTGCCCTTCAAGTCCCCTTAGCAACAAAAGTCTCTCTCCTGCATCTTCTTCTCCAACGTCTCCATCTCCTCTCTTTCTCTCTCTACAACGAAGGTGGAGCACCGATGCACAGATCTGAAGCAACGAAATCGAATCTGCTTTAGATCTGTGTTATTGTGTGACTGTGTGTGCGTCTGTATATATATATATATATAGATTGTGTGTGATGGGTGTGTTGTGTATTATAACTGTGTGTGCGTGTGTGTCTATATATATATATATATATATTGTGTGTGTGATGGTGTGAGTGTTCTTTGGTGTTATTTGTTTTTTTTTTGAAAAAAAATTATTGGTGTTTGTATATTTTTTCTATTGAATATGTTTGATTTTATTTTAGATGAAGGTCATTGATGTATTTTTTTTATATTGATTTTATTTTTGATGAAGATTATTGAATATATTTGATTTATTTTAAAGTTTGGTTTATTGAATTTTTTTTTTATGAAATTGTTAATCTAAAAATAACTCTTATATTTTTTTTTATTAATTTTTGAATTACTGTTCAAACATATATTTAGGCTATCCAAATAGGTTTTACTATTTTCTGTACTATAAAATTGTTTTTGAAATCATCTAACCAAACAAGTTTTTTATCTTTATCAAAACACACTTTCTTAAAACTCTTCTCAAAAGTTGTTTTCGGATACTATTTTTTGAAACGCAAACCAAACAGGCCCTAAGATTGTGGAGTTTTTTACTCCGTTTCAAGGGGCCGAGAAACCAATATTAGAGGGGTTGGAATGGAGTCCTATTGACGTGAGTAACGCTAGGTGGTTGGACATACCCTTTGAGGAGGAGGAAGTGAGAAGGGCTATTTTTGAGTGTGGGCGTGACAAGGCACTTGGTCTTGATGGATTCACTTTAGCTATGTACTAGGATTGCTAGGATATAGTTAAAGAGGATTTAATGAAAGTTTTTAATGAATTTTTCTGGAATGTGTGGTTAAAGCAATTACCAATTCTACCTTTATTTACTTGATCCCAAAGAAAGAAAAGTCCATGAATATTAAGGACTTTAGGCCAATAAGTTTAGCGACTAGTCTTTAGAAAATCTCTGCTAAAATTTTATCCTTAAAGTTAAGAGAATCCTTTAGTGATACTATTTTTGAGTGTCGAGGGGCTTTTATTAAGGATAGACAATGTTTTATCCTTACTATACGTTTATCGGTGATAATCTTATTACTTGGCGTAGAAAAATACAAAATGTGGTTGTCCGTTCGAGTGCAGAAGCTAAATACCAGGCTATGATACATGTTGCATGTGAGATGTTGTGGGTTTGTTCTCTCCTTCATGATATGGGTATCGATGTGTCTTATCCTATGGAAATGCATTGTGACAATCAGGCAATTATTTTCATTGTCAGTAATCCAGTATTTCATGAGAACAAAACACATTGAAGTGGATTGCATTTTATTCGAGATATCTTGATGCGTAAGGAGATTATCACCTTTAGTTGGCCACTGTCTCTCCTTTTTTCCTTTATTATGCAATTAACAAATTTATTTACAAAGTTTCATACCATAGCACGTTTTCTTTTTCTTTTTGACAAACTCTTAATATTTTCTCCTACCACATCATCTATTTTTTTTTGTGTGTGTTGGGGGGGGGGTGTTAGAGTAGTTTAGTATATTTGTTATTAGGGGTAGTTTAGTCGTTTATCTTATTTTATGTTGCCCTTACTATAAGGGTCTCTATTATGTATGTTTGGTTTTATGTTCTTGAACAGGCTCAGTGTGCGTTAATAAGATTCTCTATCTTTCTTGTTTCTTGGATCATCATATCTAACAACTTGCACTCTATGAACTTTTCAGTTATTATGAATGGAAAGCCTAAGGGTAGATTTAAGGATTCTAGATGATTGAGGCAAGGGTACCTTTATCTTCTTTCCTCTTTACTTTAGTTACAAATGGGTTGAGTAGGTTAGTGAGGAAGGCCGAGTCTTGCAATCTTGTGGAAGGTTTTAGTGTGGGAAGGGATAGAATTGCGGTCTCTTATTTGCAGTTTGCTAATGGTACCATATTTTTTTCTTTAGGACAAGAGGACGAACTTTTAAATTTTTAGAATANGAGGAAAGGAATAATAATTTGAAGTTGTTTCATAGAGTTGCTAATGGAAGGACGAAAAATAAGTTTGTTGATAAGATGGAAATAGACAATGGGTTGATTATAGAAGATGAAGGGATGATAGAAAGTAAGGGCGTGTTTGGTTATCTTCTCAAAAACAGTTTTTTGTTCTCAAAATTTCAAAAACACCAAAAACCTATTTATTTAGCATTTTTGTTCTCAAATTTTTAGGAAAAAATGAGATTTGGAGCAAAGAAACAGAAAACAAGTGTAGCTTGTTTTTAGAGTTTTCTTTGAAAATTTTGGAAACACGGAGAATAGTTTTGGGGCTTTAATGAGGTCTGCCCTTCAAGTCCCCTTAGCAACAAAAGTCTCTCTCCTGCGTCTTCTTCTCCAACGTTTCCATCTCCTCTCTTTCTCTCTCTACAACGAAGGTGGAGCACCGATGCACAATCTGAAGCAACGAAATCGAATCTGCTTTAGATCTGTGTTATTGTGTGACTGTGTGTGCGTCTGTATATATATATATATATATAGATTGTGTGTGATGGGTGTGNAAGTCCCCTTAGCAACAAAAGTCTCTCTCCTGCATCTTCTTCTCCAACGTCTCCATCTCCTCTCTTTCTCTCTCTACAACGAAGGTGGAGCACCGATGCACAGATCTGAAGCAACGAAATCGAATCTGCTTTAGATCTGTGTTATTGTGTGACTGTGTGTGCGTCTGTATATATATATATATATAGATTGTGTGTGATGGGTGTGTTGTGTATTATAACTGTGTGTGCGTGTGTGTCTATATATATATATATATATATTGTGTGTGATGGTGTGAGTGTTCTTTGGTGTTATTTGTTTTTTTTTTGAAAAAAAATTATTGGTGTTTGTATATTTTTTCTATTGAATATGTTTGATTTTATTTTAGATGAAGGTCATTGATGTATTTTTTTTATATTGATTTTATTTTTGATGAAGATTATTGAATATATTTGATTTATTTTAAAGTTTGGTTTATTGAATTTTTTTTTTATGAAATTGTTAATCTAAAAATAACTCTTATATTTTTTTTTATTAATTTTTGAATTACTGTTCAAACATATATTTAGGCTATCCAAATAGGTTTTACTATTTTCTGTACTATAAAATNGAAAATTCATTTCATTGGGATTTATGAGGTTTTCAAAAAATGTAAGAGTTACGGTGGGGAATGGGGAAAGAGCTTGCTTTTGGGAGGATAATTGGACGGGAGAGTCCGCACTTTCATGTTTGTATCCTCGGCTCTATTATTTATCTTCTTCTCATGGGTTTTCCATTGCCTCTATGATTAGGTCATACCATTATCCGTACTCTTGGGACTTTGCTTTTTCGTAGGAATCTTGATGATAGAGACACTATAGATTTGATGTCTATTCTTGATATTCTTAATAACATCACTGTTAATCAAGATTCTAGTGACACAAGACAATGGTTAAATAAGTCTT